CAGCACCAGGCCTCTACCCCTCTGTCCAAGCCATGATAAACCACCAGTTCACAGCGCTACCTGGAGGCTACTCTGAGAAGTGCATATCTGAGAGCCTGCATGTGAAGTTTTTATATCCCAGACCACCATATGATGCTAGAAAAGAGATCTATTACTCTACAATGAAAGGGTTCCATGATGACCAAAGATATTTGGTAAATCCTGGGGCTCAGAGATAGTGGCAGAAAGTCATTCCTCATTTCCCCCACATTATCTGCCCAAATAACCGTCTTTACCCAAACAAGGCAAGGATTTGAATGATGCTCTCTTTGTGACCTTATGGATGCTGAAGTTCATGCTTACGGCTGGCCAGCTGCTCATCTATCCTAACTCACTCTAACCCTAATCCCATGTTTTTAAAATAAGCTGAACAGTAGTATCATGGGGGGAGAGGGTAAAAAAAAAATTACCAATGCCTGTGCTTCTCCCAAAGAGTTAACAAGGAATTTCTGTGAAAAGGGGGGGGGGAGGAGTTCAAGCATCCCTTGGGGTGATCATAGTGTGCAAAGTTGAAAATCCCACACTAGTTATCAAAATTAATGTTCCTGTTTCTTAAGTGGGAGCTGCACTCATTCAAGAAAATTCAAGGACAGAGCAAGCTTTGTCCCTGAACTTAATTCAATAGAAAACTGGTCCCAGGCAAGGCCGGTTCTCTTCGGAGGTATGGAGGCTCTTCCCTTAGCCTTTGCTCTGCAACACTGCAGCTAAAGCAAAGCTATAAACCCATCCCTTGCCTATTCCCCACTCCCCACCCCCTGGAATAAAAACATCGATGTAGTTTCTCTGTCTGCTTCTTGACAAGCAGTCTGGTTGCCTTTGCCCTTGTAATTCCTCCTCCTTGGAATGTACCCCTTGGGGTGATCATAGTGTGCAAAGTTGAAAATCTCTGCTTTGCATTTTACTCCTTTCCCTTTGTTACCTTACTAACTTTTGCTCAAGGCAATACACCTTCCCTGATTACAAGAAAAGACCATCTATTTGCTCTACAAATTTTTATTGTTCCCTGCTTTTTTGCTATTATAGCACTTAGCACATTATGTGATACTGCTTTGCATTAAGTCTAAGACACTATCAATGATGAGATACACTATTATTTCATGGAATGCTAAAGAACAAAAAGAAAGCTGTCAACAAAATTATAGCAATCCTTTCTTAAGACAAAACTTTTCCTTTCATACATATTGAAAGAATTCTTTTAGTGCAGTTTTAAGACATATCAAAGAGCCCAGGGTTTTGGTAGCACTTCTTATTTAACCAACTAATAGTCTCAATTTTTCTTCAATTGAATCACCTTGTCACAGAAAGTAAAGCAACTGCTGTTCAAACTGAGAAGGAAGTTTCTGATATTGGTGATTGACATGCAAATGATAGTTCTGCATGATGAATCGGTCACATCAACTCCTTTTTGTTTTGAAATGTCTTTTATGTCTTCAAAAGGATTAGGCAATTTCTCCTGCCTTTAGTTGAATTGCTTGCATGTGGTAATAATATTTCTCAGACTTTAACATGCATTTTTGTCACCAGGGCATTTTCTTAAAATGCAGATTCTGATTTTGTAAGTCTGGGATGGGGCCTGAAATTCTTCATTTCTAGCAAGTTCTTAGGTGATGCTGATGCTCCTGGTGCAGAGACCACACATAGTTTAGCAAGGTGACAGCCAAGCTTTCGCATATATCTGCCACAACACCTTGCACAACTTATTCAACTTGTAAGTATTTTCCTTTCTTAAGACTCATCAAGTATTTTATTAATTTGCAAGAAAATAATAGGCGTCAACTCCTTAACTATAAATATTAACCGCACTGACAGTAAATACATGTCCCATTGTAGTTGTACCAAAAGGCTTTCTGTTATTAAAACTAAGGTTAATTAGCATTTGAGTGACAGTGAATTATTCTTTGAATTTTGGCAGACTCCATCCAGTCACTTAAAGCAGAGCATGGCAATTGGACAATACACAGATTTTTATGTGTGACTTAATGCATGAAATCAAGGTCTTGCGTACAGTATGAAATCTGAGTCATAGTTCATTTGGCCCAGATTTCACATTTAAACTAGTCCTAACAATTTAAACATTAAAAATTCAGTTATGTTGATCTAAAAATAAGACTTATTGTGTGATTCCTTGAGATTCTGGTAGTAAAAATTTGCCTTTTCATACATTATGATTGGTTTACTCCTTCACTCCCACTGCCCTGAATAACCTCTGTATCATTTCTCCTTTTCTTCTGGGTGATGGTTCAAGTCAAATAGAAATTCATTGTCCCTATATTATTATTCACTTGGGCCTTTTATTCATGAGCATCTCTGATACAAGTATGTCAGTCTCCCACCGCCAAAAAGAAATGAGGGGAGAATTATATTTAGCATACTACAAAAGCATTTCATGAAACAGTATGTTCATTAACACAAGTTGGATATATGCATGAAATAATGCTGAGGATCTTAGGTAAAATCTCCATAACTACAGAAAATTAGATTTCAGGACCTGATTTTTAACTCCCAAAACCATGGTGCATAACAAGATAGATATTCAATTAAGAAAAGCCCTCCATCTAAAGCAATCTCTTTGAGATAGAAATGGATGTTTACAGTCCAAAAGCATGAGAATTTAAATAGAGAATTTACATTTGGAGGCTGGAAAGGACCATAGAAATCATCTTGTTGAAATCCCTTCATGTTCATAGGGTTGGGGTCTTTAAAGGTCTTTCCATCCTTACAATTCTAATTTTCTTTATAAACTTAACACTCTTTATTCATATGAAAATGTAAGATTTGTCAAACACTTGATTCACAATAAAACTTTTTTTAATATATATAACTTCACAAATATTTTAAGTTAAATATTCCCCATTTAGGGAAAGGAAGTGAAAAGATCATTAGAGAAGGTTCTGCCTGCTCCCTGTACCCCTATATAATAGAACACATTGAAGAATGCAACCAATGACCCAGGCTAGGAAGATATACATCCAATAATGTTACTACTCAAGGGTACTAAAAGTAACATTATTTCTTATAACATCTACAGAATGAGAAATCAAAGACAAATTCCATTTTTTATGTTAGGGTGATATATTTATAAGGTTGAGGGAAATGCTTATAAAGGTGTGGCAAATATCCTCAAATTTTAAGCTACTTTTTTTTCTAAAACATAATTTAATTCTTTTTTTAATATTCACATTTGCTGTAAAGAAAATAGAGGGTGTTCCTTAAAGAACACTTCGTTGCAAACCCAGTTCTTTACAGGCATCTGACTACTACAAAAAATCCTGCCAGGAAGTGGATCTAGCCACATTTTCCATCACTGAGTACTTTTGGTATTTCTTTCTTCAACCTTCCTCAAGCAGAGAGTTATTGAGTGCAGCCTCTTTTAGGTCCCTGTTCTATTATTCTGGAATGTGCGACACCTGGAATTGTCAACCCAGGACCTCAGAAGTAGGTGCCTCTAAAAAGGGTCTAATTTCTGGCAAAAGGAGCTTAGTTATTGAGGTCAGAGGTGCCTGTTTGTGTTTCCCATTCTTTTAAGTTCATACAATGGATATCTATCTATAGGATGGATGGCCCATACAACAGATGGCTACAAATGTCCATGAATTTCATTGGCCCTAAATAAACCCTGCCTTTCAGTTACTTATCTTCATGTCTAGCTGGAGCAGACTGACAGATCTTTCTACTGAGTAGGCAAAAAAACAGGACACAAAACCTTTACAATTCCTTTGCAAGAAGGATGAAAAGTCAGAAAATCAGACTCCCACAATATTGGAGCTTTGGTGACCTCTTGTGGGGTAATTTATTAATAGCCAATAATAAAACAGTTCCCAGAATGGAATCTGAGGCGTTTTCTTTGTAGGTCTAGTAAGTATACCAATGGGCCTGCTGAGACCCAATGGGCCTATTACAACCTAGAAATGCCTATACTACATAAAGTTATCAATAAAGTGTTAATAATTGCATCAGGTTACATATTCAACAGAGCTTATCTGCATATAAATACACATCAGGAGTGATGTAAATAAAGTATTAAATATATTAAGGCATCCTAGAATCTTCTGTCTGTAGGATAGGAAGGGACCTTCCAACCACCCATCAGATATTTGGTAATCCTCTGTGATGGAGCCCAATCACAAGGGAGTTTGGGAAGAGATTATAGGTAAATTAAAGCTAAACCCTTAGGTATGGTATGTGTTCAATAAATGAATTTATAGAAAAAGTAAATACTAGTAAGAAGAATTATCTTCTTACTTAATAGTTAACATTAATATCTTTAGGTCTATAACGAGTAATAAAATAAATCAGGACATCTTCCAGCTAGATTGCTTGTTGATGGGAAGGACAAATTTACTCATCTAGAAAGTGTCCACACACACACACACACACACACACACACACACACACACACGATCCTAAGCTAATCACTATAGCAATTATTTTGTCTTTTCTGATTAGCAAACACTTCCTATGGCAAATTCAAAGAATAAGTCAAATTTGGTTTTTCTGCCAGTTACTATTGAACCTATTTGTTACCTTTATAAAGTAGCCACATTAAAAAAGAATGACCATTAATAAAGATACTGATTTTAAGAATTTCAGGATTCTGCTTTACTTCTGAGTTTACTTTTTAGATTTCTGTTAATAAATTATTTTTCATGTTAGAGATTTTAATGTAACATAACCACATGGCAGGCAAGGAAGCATTATTGTTACTTTATTGTCCTAGTCTATATATTCTGCATCATTTGTATATATTTGTATGTTGTAATTTAGTGCCTAATAAAAAACACACAGAGATACCTGGTAAATATTGACCAGTATGAATGAATAATATTATATAAAAAATTTAACTAGATTTTCATTCAGAGAAATTTGTTTAAATTTGTTAGCTTGGGGGGAAATTTAATTTCAGTAAAAAATGCATCTTGATTATATGGTAAGAGTTTTTAACTAAGAGAATTTATACCCACAGAAAAAGTAGACAGGAGAATAAGTAACCTTGCTAAAAACACCAGAAAATAATGAGTAGAAAAATAACCTCATGTTCAGTTCTGTAGCATTGGTGACCCTAGTTAACCTGTAAAAAGTAAAAAATAATGATTACTATATATCATAGCATTATTACTACATTTTTTATTGATGCTTCTTTCACCAAACATTTGTAGATCTCTACTGTGCCCAAGGCAAATGTTGAACATAAAGATTTAACTCATCCCCCTTTTCCCTGCTAGTAATACTGAAAGTGGGCTCTGCCATCAGCATTGATGGCTGGCTAAATGTAGGCTATGCTGACAGAGGACACTGAGAGGGCTTTGCAAGTTTGAAGAGGGAGGCATGTTTTGTTCTGGTGGTGTTTTTCTCCTATGGTCCAGCAGGGGGGTCCTGCCGGTGTTTCGGTCAGCAGCAGTGCTTTGTGCTAGTGTGGCAACCATGCCCACTGCTTAGAAGTCTGAATCTTCCCCTCTGGGCACCCTTCTTGGGAGGTTCCTAGTTTCTTATTCACTTTTCCCTCAATTCTGCTGTTACTATCTCTGTATACCTTAGAGTTCTCTTTTACCAATTTTAGTAGCTAATACATCTTTTACTTAGCCCACAATTATTTTCTCCATTCATATTACTGGTCTGGTCATTTTTGTCCCTGTCAAGACCCTGGATAACACAATAGTCAATAAAAATTTGAACCTTTAAAATTCTATAAAAATAAACACTAGACATCAGGTAAAACTCTCAGATTGCTAAAGTAAAATGTTCAATGACTGGTTAGAAGATAAAGTTGAGAAAATCTCCCAGAAAATGGAACAACCAGTTAAGAGATGGAAAATATAGGGGGTGAGGTTGGGGTGTGGAAAGGGGGAGAGTGAAAGGGAATTGTAAGGTTGCCAATATCTTCATCCTAAAAAGTGGGGTGATAAGACATGCAATATATAGTTAATCAGAAATAGAGGGTTAATATATTATATAAACTTATGACCAAAAGGTATTAACTACAGTAAATGTAATACTTATTTAATGCTTTAAATATATTGACCCACTTATCTTCATAATAATCCTCTAAGGCAGTGGTTTTCAACCTTCCTAATGCCGCGGCCCTTTAATACAGTTCCTCATGTTGTGGTGACCCCCAATTTCATTGTTACAAATTGAACATAATTAAAGCATAGTGATTAATCACAAAAACAATATGTAATTATATATGTGTTTTCCAATGGTCTTAGGCGACCCCTGTGAAAGGGTCGTTCGGCCCACAAAGGGGTCGGGCCCCCCAGGTTGAGAACTGCTGCTCTAAGGAATGGACTATTACTATCTCCATTTTACAGATTACAAAAAAAGTTCAGAGAGATTGAGTAACTTGCCTAAGGTCACACAGCTAGTAAATGAGGAAGTGGGATTTCAGGGTGTGTGCTCTTGTTTATTACCCTCCGTTGTCTCCTATATGACTTTATTGGGAAGAGATGGGTAAGGAAGGTAGGAGTGATGCAAATGAGTTAAATTGTATCTCTTAGCAGTAGAATAAGGCAATACTTAAGTGATGAATTAAGAAATAGTGATAAAAACGAAATTCAACTGAGTAATTTTTTTAAAGATCTAATTGACTTTATTAGGTGATTCATGAACTGAGCTATTAACAAAAGAAAAGAATGGATTATTTTTAGATCACAATATCATCTTTTTCTTGGGGGAAGGCGAGGTTTTCTGTGTTTGTTTTTTCTATCATGCAGATTGCTTCTTTTTTCTATGAGGGATGGAGAGGGTCCAAGTTCCTAATTACCTTACTGGTGCTTGACCAGAAAATCCCAGATTGTTTGTTTAAGATTATCTTTCTAAAAAATATTAAAACAGCAGTTAGGTCAGGTATTAAAATCTAGATTTGTTATCATGGGCTTTGGCACAAGTGACAGCACTTAGGGCCTGTAGGCCTGTGGTTTTGTCTTTAACAAAGGTAATCACCAGAAGAAACAAAAGCAGAAACTGTTTAAAAAAGATTACTCTCTTACTCTCAGGAGCAGCACTTTGGGAAGGAAGTGGTGAACCAGGGACTTATCATTTCCCCCTACAAATCTTTCTGTACTATTAATGTCTCACTTTAATAATAATTTAATAATAATAATTTATTCTAAACATTTAAAAAGACATAAAATTATAAATTATGCCAGGTTAGGAGAGAGAAAAAATGGAATCATGAAGCTAAATTATACACAAAAATCATGTATGTTTAATTTTACATACTCATTATATAAAGATAATGTTATATGTGAAAACAAGGAAAGTCCTTTCTCATTTGTGGTAGAGATATCTGGCCTGCATCCCTCAGACACATGTCGGCCTGGTGGTTACCCATAGCAGGGTTTGGGAGCCCCTCTTCTCACACTTCACAAGAGAGATGAAGCTGATTCTCAAGCTAGTAAATGCATACCATTTGAACAATAAGATGAAAATTTAAGCATTAGCAGCCACAAAAGGCCTTACAACTCAGGAACAGCAATGAGCATCCGGAACATGCCTTTTGTTCAATCAGAGGGCCTCTCATCACAGCCGACAGATGAGCTGTCTAGAGAGTAGTCTTTAGGAAAGGAAAGGGCTCTAGGTTCTTGTGCATGCTCTAAATAAACTCTGGTGGCACGGGCACCATTCTATGCCGTTCTTCTTATCCTAGAAACTGTATTTTTCAGTCCTGGGATCTAACGTATCTCCCTCTGATGCAAATAGAAACAAAATAATAATACATTTTCATTTTTATTTATTATTCTCTGAGCATAAATTTTTGTGCTCAGAGAATGTTATAAATTTGAACTAGTAGATTAAGCATCAATGAATTAAATGGTTTGGATAACAAATGGATACATAACACATTGTAATAATGAAGTCTTACATACCTTTGAACTGTGACATTCTAGGACCCATAATGATATATATTGATTTGCTGCCATCTAGTGCTCATTGCTGTAGAGATCTAGAATGAGCATAGTTGAAATGAAATTTTAAAAATTCTTTCCTTAGTCTCTGCAGCAGTCCTGGGTTTCGTGTGTGTGTGTGTGTGTGTGTGTGTTTTAATGGAGACTTCTGAGACTTAAATAAAAACATTTTCCTAATAAAATGGTATTCATGTAGACAACAAATTTATAAATAGCTTTATACACTGTGGAAAGTTCAGTGAACTCTGATCTAATCCATATCTATAGGTTTGAGGTATCTTAGTATGTCATCCCACAGAAAGTTTATAAGGAAGGCTTAACTATTTCAGTAAGTCATCTGCTAAATTTGAATGTGAAGGCAATTATTATTAACTCATAAAATTCCCAGCAACATGTATTAAGACTTGAAAGAGAAGACATTCCTCTTTATGCAGTATGTGAAAGAGATAGTCTGCAGAAAAAAAAATTTTTCCCCCCAGAAAATCAGCTAAAAAGGCTGACTAAATTGCATCATTGAGCTTACTGAAAAGTAAAAGAAATTTCCAGGGACCCAAAAGGCAAGAGAGAACTTAACCAAGAAGTGATAAGCAGGGACTGAAGGCATTCCTACCCCTAGGGCATTTGCTAATACCCTAAATGTAGTCCTAGAATATAATGGCCTCCCAACATACAGGATATGAGTCCTTGTTCAGTGTGGGAACTAAGATCTTCACATCAAACTGGAACCTTCAAAAGACTACACCAGCAAAAGGATGCAAGGAGGCTTGACTATCTGGGCTAAAGTTTGGGAAGAGGAAAAAATATCTTCCCTCCGAGTTATAAACATAGCTACTCTCACATGTGATTTGGGTTCAAATCTAAACTAACCTGATAGTTTGTATATGGGGTTTAAGAAAGGAAAAAGGTCAAAGATTACTCCAAGATGTTTGGTGTCTGGCTTGAGTAGCTGGAAAAATAGAATGGTCACTATGTGACATAGAGAAAGCTTCAAGTGGGGTTTGTCTGAGGAAGCCAAGATTAGGAGTTCAGTGTCAGAAAAGCTGGGTTTGAGAGGCCTATTTGACTTCTAAGTGGAAATGTCTAGCATGCAGTTGAAGTGCAGTCTGAAGTTCAGGAAAGAAGAATGGGCTGGAGAGATACTTTGGGAACAGTCTATATGATAATGGGACAATAGAGACTGGAAGAGAGCACCAACCAAGTAAGTGTAGATAGAGAAGAGGTCCAAAAAGTTAGCTCTGGGATACTCCAATATCAAGAGGTCAAGGAGATTAGCAAAAACTAGCAAAGGAGATCTAGAAGGATGAAAAGCTGGAATATGTGCAACCACCAGTTAGAAAATATAATGAGAATTTACTTCATTCCAAATAGCACCAAAATTATATAAAATATTGAGGAATAAATTTAATAATACTATGACAGACTTATATGGAAGCTCTCAATTTTAAAAAACCCACCATAACACCTTTTGACATTTTTATTATAATTGATAAAGAAGCCCTGGAATAGAAATGGTGTAGAATGAAGCCATTCAAATGATTAAGACAGATACATATTACTGACATAAAAAAACCTTTTAGGATAGTAACACTTGATAAAGACAAAAAAAAAAAAGGTGGTGAGACAAAAACTATAGTATGAAACTGTCTTTATAATTTGGTATGTTTAGTATATATTCATGAAAGAAAGTCTGGAAGAATGTATAAAAGATTCTTATCAGTGATTAACATATGGCAGGCTTTCAGTATCTACTTTATAAACATCTGGATGATTGAATTTTTAGTCTGAGCCCATATGAACATTATTAACAAAGTTAGAATTTAAATGAAATTTATATGGCATACATAATTGCATGGAAATAAAATTATAACATAATATTAATTCAAGAAAGCAAAAATAAACATCCTACATATGGTATGACCAATATTAGAATATGCATGAAAAAAAGACTGTAAAGCTTACCAGAAAAGCTGATGGCGATTCTCTTTGGGTAGTGGTACTGAGTACTCTTTCCTTTTCTTCTGGTGCTATATCTCTCAAATTCACTATAATGTGAGTATTCCTACTTTTATTATTCCTGTTTACCTTGAAAATTTTTAAGGATACAAAGAAAAAGTATAATAAAATACCAGGTATCTATCAATCAGCTTCAACCACCACCAAATTTTAGATATGCATGTGTCATCTTTCTACAATCTGGTTGTGTTGTGTTTTTTTTTGGGGGGGGGGGTATTTTAAAGCAAATCTCAGATATCTTGCCAATCTATTCTATGTATTTTAAAAAGTCTATTTTTACATCACAATACCATTATTTCATCTGTTAAGAAATTAACAAACATTTCTTAATATCAAATACATAGCCCATACTGAAAAATCTGTGCCTACAACATGTCTTTATATAGTTGGTTGGTGCAGAATGAGAATCAAAACAAGAACCGCTCGTTACATTCTGTTTTGCCTTCAGAGTCCTACTCCAGCAGTGTTATGGGCTGAGTTGTACCCCCAAAATTCATATGTTGAAACCCCAACCCCCGGTACTTCAGAATGAGACAGTATTTGGAGATAATGTCCTTAAAGAGGTAATTAAGTTAAAATTAGGTCATTAGGGTTGGACCCTAATCCAGTATGGCTACTGTCCTTCTAAGAGGAGATTAGGACACAGACAAGTACAGAGGGAAGACTATGTGAAGACAGAGGGAGAAGGCAGCCACATAAGAGCCAAAGAGAGAGGCCTCAGCAGAGACCAACCCTGCTGACACCTTAATCTTGGACTTCTCTTACATGGTTTACAACTACAGCATCTTACCTCATATCCCTGTATCTAAGTTTGCTTTCTTCCCATCCACTTTCCACACTGCAGCCGGAGTTTCTTTCTGAAATTAAAATTTGACCGGTTTACTCCATGATTAAAACCCCTTAATGGTACCCCATTAACCTGATAATGCTGTCTGGCTCTCTTCATAACTTGCTTATCTCTCTTGTCTTACTTTCCCCCAGCGCCCCTAGCCTTATTCTTGACTTTTTGTCATGCTGAATTTATTTCAGTTCTTAGATTATGTCAAGCTTTCTTTTACTCAGCACTAAACCGCACCTTTTCTACCCAGAAACCCTTCCCGACCTGGACAACTCCATGTATTTTTAAATGTCATTCCTGTTATGAAATATTCCCTACCTCCTACCCCAACTACATTTCTGCAAGCGACTACAAAGGTCTAGCTAGGCAAGAGATGTTAACAGGTGTACATCTCAGCCAGTCCGATAAACTGGGGAATGTATTATTAAAATAATTCCCGAATCAGAATGTACCATCAGAGTGATAACCTCTCTTTGTAAAAGGAGGTACTTACATCACAGTTGTTAGGACAAATGAAAAACACATTAAACACCTATAATGCATAGCTCCTAGGAGGAGCTCAATACAGGGGTGGGAAAACATAGGTTTACAGTTGTAATATAATAAATAAATAAATAATACAAAAATAAACTGTTTTGTGTAATCACACCGTAAACCTACTTTTGCCCACCCCTGTATATGTCATCTATACCCATTCACAAATGATCATGAAGTAGCGCCAACTATTTGATAGATACTATTGTTGATGCTGGGCTAAAAAAGTAAAGTACAATCCAAATAAAAAAATATTTTATAGAATGAGTATCCAAAGCTTAACAGGATTTATGTATGTATATACACACACACACACACACACACACACAGCAGGAGTGTTTAGAGCAGCGGTTCTCAACCTGTGGGTTTCAACCCCTTTGGGGGTCGAGCGACCCTTTCACAGGGGTCACCTAAGACCATCGGAAAAAACATATATAATTACATATTGACTTGTGATTAATCACTATGCTTTAATTATGTTCAATTTGTAACAATGAAATTAGGAGTCACCACAACATGAGGAACTGTATTAAAGGGTCGGCATTAGGAAGGTTGAGAACCACTGGTTTAGAGGAATTAGTCAACCTACTTAAGATTCAAAGGATGGACAACATTTGGGCTGAGACATGTAACAGTAGAAGTTTACAAGGAGGGATTTTCAGGGAGAGGGGACAAAGTGTGCAAGAATTAGGGCATGAAACGATATCAATTGTGGTGGTGCACCTACTTCAACATTGCTGAAGCACAAAATTGCAATGAGGCAATGAGAAATGAAACTAGTCAGGCAGATGGACTAGGCAAAACAACTAGTTTTCTTCTCAGATCATGAAACATTTTCAGGAGAGTGGCATTATCAGATTTACATTCTTAGTGAAGTCATTCTGGTTAGTCATGTGGAGATGGAATTCCAGGGGTCAAAACTTGAGTCAGGGGACTACTAAAGAGGCCCTCTCACAATAATCCTTGGGAGATGCCCTGAAGGCTGGCCTTAGGCAGTGGGCATTGAGACGGATAAGCTATACACTGGGGTGTTAGAAAGGTAGAATGGACATGATTTGGGTGTAAGATGTATTTAGGACGCTCAACAGGTAATTGACTACAATACTGGCAGGATGGTGGCGGCTTAAACCACGATAGAAACCCCAGAAAGGTTTTGAGTGAAAAGAGAAACAGTTCGGTTTGAGACGCATGGGATTGGTAATTTCTGCTTTCTCACGGGACTTGGAGAAGCAAATGCGATATGCTCTGCAAGGTGTGGCGATGCCAATGGAACTGGGAAAGGCTGGCCTCCAAAGAGATACACTTATAACGCTCCCACGGTGCAGCCGGAGCAACAGGTCATACTGCAGGACGACTCCTGCAGAAAGCTGAAGCGTGGGAGTGATTTGTCGGGTATTTTTCCAGCCAGGCTGACTCGGAACTAAAGATGGCGCCTGTGGCAGAAATTAGAAAGTGGGAGGGGGCGCTGGGCATAGAAAAAGATGACGTGTTTCTTCTTGTTCTAACCCGTACTGATAATTTAGCGCCAAACGATCGGTGGATAATGTTTGCCTTAACATCTGGTCTGCAGTGCAACTCTCCTTCCGCACGCTGGCCGGTGGGTGCGATCGCGCGGGGGCCTGGCGAGCCTGTTCCTTCCCCGCATTCAGGTTTCTCATCTTCCGCGGGGTGCACGACAGCCTCGCCGGCTCGCTTGGCCCCGTCCCGTTTTTCTCAGCGCTGGCTACAGTTCTGAGCTGCAGAGGTGCTTTTTTGGGGGGAAGAGGGGAGTGCAGGCTCTCCGGGGCACCCGCGCATTCCCGGGGTCCCTTTCCGCTCCAGCGGTGCGCATACTTCTCCCGCGCAGGACCGCGCGGGCTCGAGGGGTGCGGCGCGCGGCCTCT